AGAGTGTGAAAGGGGTGCTGAGTAAAAGTTAGCACACTTAATGCAATTCCCACCCCTAATTCTAGACAGAACCAGTCATCTACAGCATTCCTTCCTCAGAACCTGTTTCAAATCTGTGCTCCTAATAAGCTACTTTATGTAGTTGCTAATTGATTGGCTCACCAAATGGAAACGATTTTTTCTATCACATTGGGTCCACTAGAAAATCTGGCTAAAGTAACAGAGAAAGGCATTTCCGTCATACCAGGTTTCTATACCAAACGCTCTGTAGGAGTAACATATAGCTTGATCACAAGCAGCACTGCCTTAAAGGCAAGCTTGGCACTCCCACCAGGCATCCCATAGGATTCTCAGCCGCCCCAGAGTGCCTGTTCACACAGAAACAAGCAGCCATGAGGAAAGTCTTTTGCCTGTTCTCATTCTTCAGCTGCTACAGAACAAGAGCAACTGTGAAGCCACAGACCACAAAGAAAAAGGTCATTCTCATAAAACACATCATGGTCCCGCTGAAGCGCTCAGAAAAGCACACACACTTCAAAGCCAGCCATGAAGGGAGACACGCCGACAAGCCCCCACTCAAGAACACTCATTTCGCCCAGGAGTATCTCTGCCGAGGACCCAGGCCTTGGGAGGTCAAACCCTTCAGAGAAAAACCCACATCAGTAAAAGCTGCATTCAACCAACAAGGGTACAATTGGCAGTGGAGGAGACATATGGAGGGCAGCTTGTTGATCGGTAACAACAGAACCAACTGCTGCTTTCAGGAGAAAGAGATGCTTGCACACCAAGCCTAGAAGCCGGGGTTCCTGCCTTGTCCCCTCTGTCAGTCCCACACCCCTCAGGGAATCCAGCACATGCATTTTCTCATGAGGCTCAAATGAACAAGGCAGTTCTTTGAAACACAGAGGAAGAGGGGTTCCTGTAGGCCATGAGACGCTCAGGAGACGTGAGAGAATGAAAAGAGATGGCCCTGGGACCTCCCTCATGTGAGCACTCACGGCCAACCGCATTCTCGCCACTATCATAGACACATTATCAGCAGACAGCAAAGCAGCCGTTCTGATTTCTTTACCGTTTTTTTAAATATATTTTTAAAGATGAAATGAAAAGGCAAAATGGCCCAAGGTTGACGTCGGTGTCTGCCAATCTCTAATTTTTAGTGTCACTGGCCTGGAGCTCACCGGTTCAGCCAAATCAGCTAGCCACTAAGCCCCAGAGACCCTCCCGTTCCTGCCCCGCTCAGTGTTGAGATTACAGGCCTAGGATGCTTCCCCTGGCTTTTAGGCAGGTCTTGGGGGTTGAACTCAGGTCCTAGTGCTTATGCTGCAAACACTTCTTCCTTTAATCTTCCCAGCGCCACGAGCTGACTTCCCAATAGTAACAATGACAACCAGAAGAAGCAGGAAGCAAATGTGCTAAAAAGTCCAGTCACTACCCTGAGTTCGGTGTCAGTGAGACTGTCAAGCCGAAGGGGAAGTGATGTAGACCAAGGAGCTTTGTGAGCTGAATCTTGACTATTGACTATGGCTAACTGCTTGCAAATCAAAATGTAGACATTCAACACCCAGACAAGGGCGAGCAGATTTTTTAGCATACAAACAAAAGGGCACCGAGTTCAATGTGGGTTTCAGATAAACAATAAATAAAATAACTGAAAAAGATGATCTGAGATGGCATGAAATAGTTAAAAAATAGAATTCTTAAATAAAGGGAGGGGTTTGGGACACACACACACATGCACACACTCACATACACATACACACACACACACAGGTTGGGGGTGAGAGAGGCAGAGATACGGAAGCCAAGAATCTCCAGTAATCTGCCAAAAGATAACAGAGTAGAGCAAACTCAGCTCTTGCTGGTCCTGAATGTTTGTCTGCCTACCTCCTCTCCTGAAGAGGAAGAGAATTTGCGCCATTTTCCTTTCCCTCATCCATGCTACACTACTCCTCTTTCTACCCTTACCATTCCCGTAGCCTTCCCTCCTCTTGGTGGAGCAGCTGACCAGGCCTTGTTAAGGCGGCCCAGAGGAGTTCTCAGCATTTCTTCCCCCTTGTCCACAGCATAGAGGATGCTTCTTCAGGTCTACGCTCTCGTCAGTTTTGTCTTGGCTTTCCTGGGACTGTTTCCTCCCAGATGGCACTTCTTCGTTCCCAACTGATGGAATGTTTAATTACTTACACGAGAACTATTAATTAACTAACCACTTGTGGAACAGTGTACTTCCAGCTCTGGGGTCTGTCAGGGGGACACTGACACTTGTACTTCAGGAACATGCCTCAAGAACATAGGAACTTGTTGACCATTTCGGGGGCAGGGGGTCAGGGAGAGGCAGCCTGGTCTCCCTCAAAACAAAGCACAGTACACCTGATTAAGGCTGGAGTTCCCAAGGCTGGACCAGAGAAGTACTGTGGTGGATGAGTGACGTCTTCCAAAGACGCGGAAGTGGGAGGTGTCAACACAGGAAGACTGGGCATTTGCCCTGACTGAAGTGAAGATCTGGATGAGATTATAGTTCCATCAACCGCCAAGGGAGAAGTCTTCAGGAACTCATTACCTTTTAGGCAATTTTAATCTCTGTGCTTGCTAGAGTCTTTTTTTTTTTTTTTTTTTTTTTTTGGTCAATATGGCATGAGTGAGAGTCATCAGAGAAGGGAACCTCACCTGAGAAAATGCCCCCATCAGATTAGTCTGTAGGCAAGCCTGTGGGCCATTTTCCTGGTTGATGGTTGACACCAACCTACTGTGGGCAGTACCACCTCTGGGCAGGTGAGCCTGGAGGGTATAAGAAAGCAACTCAGCAAGCCAGGGGGAGCAAGATACTAAGCAGTGCTCCTTCCTTCATGGTCTCTGACTCAGTTCCTGCCTCCACGTTCCTGCCTAGACTTCCCTTCATGATCAACAACTGTAAACTGAAATAAACTCTTTCCTCCCCAAGTTGTTTCTGGCCGTGGTATTTTGAGACAGCAATAGAAAACCATCATACTAGAACATCTCCAAATGACTGCATGATCCAATACTAGGCAGGTACATACTAGTGAGCATATGGGTATTCTGCTAATTAAGACTAGATAAAGGTGGACAAGGGAGCCAGAATAACTCTAGTGCAAGACAGAACTGATGCTAAGAGCCCCCAGAAGAATGGAATGGTGTGGAAATTGAGAGGCGACTTCCAAGATGATTTTTTGTTGGCCTTAAAAGACAAGGGCTTGTTAGGACACGGAAGACATGAGGTGTGATATTGGAAGCAGAAAAGGAGGGTGGGTCACATGTGTGGACAGGTGAGCATGGACGTGAAGCCCAGAAGGTGAGGTAGTCTTGCATTGCTAAGATGGTGGAATTTTGATGGGAGCGTGTAAATCTCACCTGCAAAGTTGTCCGCACTAGGACGCCATTTGCATCTAGGAAGGAGGTAATATAACTGGAAGTGATTATTGAGTCTGTGACATATGTCATCACCAGAGTACAGCACTTCCTTCTACTGCTTACTAACCCCAATTTACCAAGATGAACGTTGTCATGTTTTTGAGCACTGCATATGTTTAGGCATACAAGGTAGGTATTCTTTAACAGTTTCCTATTCGAGCGTTATAGTACTTACTAGATTATGAAACCTGCATTTCAAGAGCCAATCAGCTCAAATTCACACAGCAGTGAATGACAAAGGCAGGGCTAAACCAAGATTTACACTCAATTTGAGCTTGGATGACATGACAAGGGCCTGTGGACCATTTGGGGGAAAGAATATAGACTTATATAGCATGAGCTCCTCAATTGCTTCCAACTCAAGATTTTAAACACGGAAAGGCTAAATGACAGTGAAAGCATTTGGAAAAAGGCCTCTTTGTTCTACGGCCAATTAGCATTCATTCCTGTTTGCAATATGGCAGTGCCCATCGCCTGACTGAAATGTCGATTATTGATGTTGATGCCTTCCTAGCCACAAAAGTTTCTTCTGATTTGGAAGAATTTGTCTTCATTCTAGTTCATCTTTCCTGTTTGGGACACACTTCAGCAGGTGTACGTGACATATCTATACAGCAAGTCAAGAGTGATGGTGTTTGGGTATATGATCCATTCCAGTGTGTATGTAGGTTCATGTGTGTTGAGTGTACACGTACATGTATGTGGAGGCCAGAGGACAACCTCAGGTTTCATTCATTAAGTACTGTTCATGGTTTGTTTGAGATAACTTCTCTCACTGGTTAGGAGCCCCATAGCCCCTTCTCCACCTCTCCATCACAGAGATAAGTGTGTGCTAGCACATCAAGACTTTTCCTTTTTAAAAATGAGTTCTGGGGATGGAACTCAGGTACAACACATGCCTTTACTGAGAGAGCTTTGACCCCCACCTCCCCTTAACCCATTCCTAATAAGCTGTATGGTACAGGAAAGAGCTTTGTCTCAGTTGGTTCCAGTGCTTTGGTTGGTGTTTGCTGGTACATCACAGGAGGATCCTGTCACAGAACAGCCTCCTTGATCCAAGTGAGGATGCTGAACTCCGTCCGTCATTAGAGGCCAAGAGCATCGACCTCGTCTCATGAGGAGGTCATGTCACCTCAAACCCGACACCAAACACACAAGCTGCCTTCTTCAGATCTCTGATATAACCTTACACACTACTACCGAAGCTAACTTTTAGTCCATCTGTTTTAGGAGAAAACATGCTGTGTGAATTAGCTTGGACCACATGAAATTGCTGTTATTTACTGTTATTTTGCCAACAAATAGTCACTCCCTGTGAATCAACCTAATGTTAATCACAGCTATGCGAAAAACTCTCCAAATGTTTTCTACATCTCTCAACTTAAATAGAGACCCTGGGTTCTAAGGGGAGAAAACAGCACACACTAAAATTACTAATAAAAGTCTATTGGATTTTCCCATATACAGATCCTAGTGTGATGAAGAGTCCTATATGTGTTTTATGCAAATGGTGCACAAAACTTTCTGCCTGGGTGGATGTACTTTAAAAAAACAGAAAAATTTATTTGATTTATACATTTACATTTTTATTAGAATTCTTTAGAACTGTCAACAATTGGACAACATATCAGAAAAAAACACACACATGAACCATAACATGTTCAAACTTGCACAGCTTATATATTTACACATAAAGTTACTGTATATATAAAAAATATTTTCAGGGACTCATGGGTCTTGGGAATATTCAAAAGACATTATTGCTACATTTCAATATTTACAAAAAAAGCCACAAAATAAATCCAAACATCAAGCAACTGAAAGAAACATCTGACATTCGATGTAAAAAAAATTATAAAAATATAAACTTTCAAGAATATCCAAGACAAATTCTCAATGGTGCGCCCCTGAAGTACCTAGACATCCATATTTAACAGCTACTTTCCTTATTATAACCAAAGTCGATAGGAATGCAAAGGAATGTTTCGGACACAGTATGGCAAACAGTGACAGCCTCGTCCGTGACAACACAACCGCCACACCAGTTAACTTTAGAAAGGTGCGAGAGTGTGGAAGACCAGTGCAAGCGGTCACTTCCAGCTGGATGGCCACATGTCTCTGAATGTAGTCTAAGGGGTCAAGAGTTGGGGGGAAACCGTGAAGGCAACATACCTGAACCCTGCAAGACAACACGGGAATCTTGCCAGGGACACACTTATCGCTTATACTGGACAGTGATGATGGGGAGTGGGGGCAGGCGTGGCAACTACGTGGTAACATCCAGGCTTCCAGTTTACGCTTTCCTGGAATGATCGCATTCTATAAGGTCTAAGGGATGGGTACAGTATGTTGAGTATAGATAAGAGTGTCATAAGTGCAGGTGGATTTCAAATAAATAGATCCGTAAGCACTCCACTCTGCTAAGCCGCTGGTGGCTTTGGGTAATCTCTTCTGGCCGGTGGGCGATATGCAGGGAAACAGGAGAGAGACAGGAGAAGTGAAAAAAAAAAAAAAAAAGCTGTTACTTCTTGGGTACTGGGGGACCTCCAGGATTCAGGGCAACAAGGTCCCCAAGATATCTCACCCACACGCCATCTACACACACACACACACACACACACACACACTCACTCACACACACACTCACTCACACACACACACTCACACACTTATATAGATACTGGCCCGATGTCCAGGATGTGCCTATAAAAAAGGCAGAATCTAACTTTCGCTTCCTGCTATGTGAGAATCCAAACCAGGACCGCACTGTTTTCTCACTCCTGTGGGAATCTCGGGGTAAAATGGTAATCTTTTCAGAAGGGCGTCAGTTCCCTTGCCTACAATGCCCCTCTGAAGCTGGGAGGCTTGTTCTCGGCAATCTACAGAGCAAGTACATTGGCTAAGAGGTTTTATAAAAATTGTGCTTAGCAGTTAATATTTTTCCTTTCAAAAAAAAAAGGCATTAACTGTTTCCTTCAAATCTGTATGGCTCTTAATCTATTCTTACACACAGCAGACCTATGCCAGGGTTGTACCAGAAACTAAAGCTCGCGGGGTTCCCCCCTCCAATGTATGGACACATACAACGTATAGATGAGTATTTACAAATGCTGGCTAGGGAGGTCTTGTCTCCATTCTACTCCCTAACAGCGAACTCTATTTAAAAACCAGGTCAGTTGTACAAAAGCCTGTGCAGCAGCCCACAGCAAAGAATCTTTGTTCGTGCTTCCGGGGCACTTTCTTTCACAGCCTAGGTCTCCTTCTCAGCATGAACTACTAGATTTCTTAAGCCCAGATGTTTTCAAGTGTCCTCTGTTCTGATAATGGTCTACTTTCCACACAAAAGGCTTGGGTTTCACTTTCTAGTCTTCCTCATCTTCCCCATCATCTTGGAGGGCTCGCTAGGCCAGATGGGACTACTTCTATTCTTCAAATGAACTACTGGCCATACGTTTCAGACAGACTCAGAGGAGCATTGCAAAGAACTCTGGGCACCTAGTTTCACCCCACCCTCCCTTCTCTAAAGCAGGAGTTCTGTTTACAGTAGGAGCTACTTTGCTATTAGGAAAAGATATACATACAGTTCGGACCTTCGCAGTGGGACGGTGGCTGATGGCAACACAGAAAGGCCATCAGCCACTAAAGTGTGCTCATAAAGACAGGATCACAGTGGGGTGGGGATGGGGGACCAGCTACCCTGAAGTAGGATACAAGTCAAAGGAATACAAAACAACCATCATGGGAGCCAAAAGACCAGGGAGGGAGACAGCAGGGAAGCCTGGTGGCCATGATTTCTGCTCAGGCATCTTCGTGCACGAGCAAAGGCTGGGTGGAAGAGGCGCTGCTGCCGACAGAATTCACCCGCACAGAATGGTCCACCACCACGGGGTTCTCTGGGTTGGGATTGCAGTTTGCTAAATTGGAGTAAATCTGTAGAGAAAGACGCCACAGTCAAACACAGCACCACCTCTAAAAACCCAACAGGCAGGGGCACTCATGGCTGCAGAGTGCGGAAGACAAGGGTTTGGCAGGAAGCAGTGGCCGAAACCCAGATCGGGTTTACACCTCAGCCCCCCCCAACGAGGAAATAATTTTACACTAGGTACTAAGTGTATAATGTGTGGAGCGCTTCTCTCCTCGTGGGATTCATCTGAAAGCAAGCACTGGTCAGCCGATGAAGAGGGCTTACGGATCCCTAGAGCGAACTGCTGGGGGTAATTTGCAGGACTCTTCCAGAGTCGCTCGTCAGGAATCAAAGCACTTTGGGTGGAGATGGATGTTTCGTTTGAAATCTGCTTTGATGCCCCACAGAGCAAGCATTAACCCTAGAAAAGAGTTCCCCCGGCAATGGCTCAGGGGGAGGGGGAAGCAGCTAAAACAGAAGTCTAGCCCCAGTAAAGGCAGCTAATTCTTCCATAAAAGCCAAATAGGAAACAATGGATTTATTTCATTCCACACTCCCTAGGAGCGCTGTCCTAACTTCAAACAACCCTTCTCTATGGCTGTGGCATAGCAGGCATTGTGGCTAGCTGGTTCTCACTGTCTAGAACTCGCTTTACTGTGGTGACAGGCTGTCTTCTTTTATTCTAGTCCACACCAGCCCACCCCGGAGAAATGGTCCCGCCACGTGAGAAGGAGACCAGACAGTTCCATGATCGGCATTCCAGGACAGGGAGGAAGCATGGCCTGGCCTTATGATAACATCTAATTCCACAGGTCTGAGCACGAGGCTCCCCTCCCCCAGCTCACATCTCCCTGGATTAGAAGGGAAGTGGAAGTCGGGGAGGGTGTGAGCAGAAAGAATGGGCTTCCATTGTTTTATGTCTACCCTCTGAAGAAGGCCCGTTTATAATCCAAGCCAGGGAGATGGGGGAGATTGGGCCTCGTCCTGGAAGCCTGGGGAACACGACCCTGGAACAGGGAAGAAGAGGGTTCTGGGCCCGGTGGTTACTCACATGCTTGGTGCTCTCTGAGATCTGCTTCTCGATCAGCTGCACGACCTGCTTGAACGTCGGCCTTTTCAGGGGATCAGCGTCCCAGCAAGTCTTCATTATGTCGTATCTGCAAAACAGGGGGCCAATGTCTATAACTCCCCGGCACCCTTAACCCGCTGTCTGCTGCTCACCACAGGACAACCTCAGTAACAAATCTGGGCTACGCACCAGAACGTGTGAAGTGACAGATAGACAGAATAAAACCCTGTATGCGTGAGATACTGTCAAAAGTTTCTGTGCTATCGGTGACAAGAGATTATGAAAAGAACCATAGCCGTGACATTTAAGCAGGGGTAGCCATCAAAGGAACCCAATGACATTTCAAACTGCGCTAGCAAAAACCGTCAACATCTGGGGTTTCTGCCTTTGAAAAGGAAAGCATCTGAAGGAAAAGCCTGAGGGGTCCTCACATTTCTGCAGGTGCGTGCTCCGGACTCAGCATCCGGAAGCCTTCCTTGATCATCTTATAAAACTTCGAATCGACTGGCATCCCTGGGTAGGGGCTGCTTCCTGGAGCACAGAGAGGGGGCAAACCAGTGTTACTCGTGAGTGAGGAGGATGTAAAGGAAGCTTCTAGAAACCATTGGGCAACGAGGCAGTCTCTGGCAAGGAACACCTTACCTAAAGAGAACAGCTCCCACAGGAAAATGCCATAGGACCAGACGTCACTTTCAAACGTGTACACACAGTTGAAGATGCTCTCCGGGGCCATCCACTTCACAGGCAGTCGGGCCTTGAAGGAAACATGGGAGATTCAGCCAGTGAATGAGGATGCTCAAGTGATAAAACGGAAAACTGTCCTGGCGCTGATCTGGCTGGAATGTAGCGATGAGCACCACCTAACAAGACCTCAAAACTTCATGACCCCCAGACACTTCCTACTTTCAACTCGTGGTTCCAATAGCTCCCTTTCAAAAGTAGGGGCGTTGAGTCAGTATAGTAAATGAGCATACACATTCAAGTTCACGGATCCTAACCTCCCTTCCAATAATGGCCTCCAACACTGAAGAGCCTTAGGGTTTCACTCTTCCTCTCTGCCAACAAAATATATGGCCTCTCCCAACTAGAACTACATTTCCCAGCCTCCTCTGCAGCTAGCTATAGCCAGACCACTTAGTTTTAGCTGCAAAGATTCAAGTTTTATGCAGTGGCATGAGAAAACAAAACAAAACAAACAAAAAAACACCTTAAAATACTGTAGTTTATGCACCTGAATCTCCTTTCCTGTGTCACCCCATCACATATCTGCCTCATAGACAAGATTGCTAGCTGTATCTCTGGTCATCTTTGACCAGGATGAGGAGGGCTATGCACAGAAAGGACAAAGCCCAGAAAGGCAGGAGGATTTGGTGCTAGCTTTCTGTTGTAGAACGTCTCTGCCAACCTTGGCCTTGACCGATTCCTTTTCATTTACTCTTGAACTTCTGATACCTGCGATCCATACTACCCCTCACTTGCCCTCCGGAGAAGTTACTGAAATACAGATAAGCCAGCCTCAGAATCATCTTGCAAAACAAAAATAAGATTTCAAACACAAGGAGTTGTTTTGTGGGATGGTAAATGAGGTAATGCAGGTAAAAAGCCCAGCAGGGTCCCGCTCACCCCCATCCACCTGGACTAACACAGGCTGATGAGGGCAGTGGCTGCTCCGAGGTGGGGAGTGGCCGAACCGGTGCTAACACCGGCGTTCAGGACCCTGTCACTTGGTAAACTCAACTCACCGTGACTATGCCTCTTAGAGACAGTCTATCAGGATTTCGGGATACTAATCTGCCACGTGAAGCTAAATCAGTCCTCTAAGTCTGTTGAGGACTGCACGCTGGGGAGAGGTTATTTTAGTGTGGGGGTGGGGCAGGGAATGATACACATACAAACTATAAAACCATCTACTATGCATCCCCAGATTTTATACCAGGGATCGGTTACTGTCTTGAATTCAAGAGGGCTGGGTATCTAAAGACATTAACTTCTAAGTGAATCTGAGTAGTCCATTCGTTTGAAATGGTATTCTGACTAGGAGCCCACAGTCTACCCTGGACTCGGAGCCCAGGGTGGAAAAATCTTGAGAATTAAGAATTCACAAGAACTGAGAGAATTTTCAGAGAACAAAGGGACTTTACTTGAACGTCTATGCAGTACTGTGTCATGTACATCCCCTTGCTTTAAACTCTCAAATAATCGCTTAGTTCAGCTGACTTGACCTGTTAACTGCAGAATTAGCGAGGGAGATGCCGGGGCACAAGCCCTATCCTGGTGGCTTCAATTTCCAAACCACAGAGTAGAAGAATGGGCCTGGCTGTGTTCTGAGAACTCTGCCAAGTACGATTAACTCCTATGAATACAGAGTAACCATCTCTCATCAGTTACAAACCCGCTGAATGGGACCAGAGCCAATCTCAGCCAGGCTGGACCTAGACAACTCACTTCCTCTATCTTGCTCTATTGATATATATTATATATCAATATAAATTATGATATATATTGATATATATTATATATCAATATAAATTATGTTGTGTATAATGTTATATATATGAATATATAAAATGAATACATATATATTCACTTAGCGGCTAGAATAGAAAAGCATTTTCCATCTTCCTTTATGTACTAAACCAGGATGGGAAGAAGTTGGTTTCATCAAATCTCCTGGGGGAAAAAAAAAATTTAACCTTGATGGAGCCTTTTCAGAACCGTCTGACTGAGCCAGGATATAAAGCCAGCAATACCTTTACAAAACCGAGCTGTGCACAGCCTTCCAACAGAGGAGGCACGACGATAAAAGAGAAGGCATTGCATGCATCATCATGACAGACACAAAAATTGACCTCCAGGAATAAATATGGACTGTTCAAATGGGCCTGGGAAAAAATGGGTACCTAGGAATATATATCTAAGAGGTTATGGCCTTCCATACCCATGGCCCCTACTGACTATGCTACCTCAGATATAAATCACTGAAATATACTGCACCTTAGTTTCTCCCACTGTAAAAATTGGAAGACAATGTTTTCTAAGGCACGGGTTTGTCTTGAGGTTACAGAAAAGGCTGGTGGTGAAATAGAGCACTTGGGAAAATTTGCTCTGTTCCACAAACCAACCGTTATTTATGAGTCTACGTAATAGCCAATGCCATACTGACTACAAGACCCAGCATTCCAAATACAGCTAACTCTGACACCATCTTAGACTGTAGTCCTTTCACAGAGTATTTCAACCTCAAATAAAAAAAAGCCTACTGTGACCTTCAGGTCTACATTTGTTACAGTTGAACAAAATCAAATGCATTGCTATTCTCAGGCAATAATGAAAATTAAGGCTATTTCTCTTTCCTTCATATGCCCTCTAATTATACAATTATAACTAAGAATTCTATTATCAAACGTTAGTAGTAGGAGCGTTCAGCACTCCGTGCAAATTTTGCTGAAATACTTGGCATTACAAGGTAGGGATTGGATTACTACAATAATAGAAACCAGTTTTCCAAAATGCTCTGTGTTGATCAGTTGGACAGAGAGGCACTCACGTTTCCTTTGACCACATAATTCGAATCATTCCTGATGTCTCTGGCAAGACCAAAATCACAAATCTTTGTGATCCGACCATGAGTGAGGAGAATGTTCCTGGCCGCCAGGTCTCTGTGAATACACTGTTGGGGCAGAAGAGAAAGCGACAGCCATTCATCTCAGTGCTCAAAGAGAAGACTATTTTTAATACTACAATGCTGTTTACATTTTTTTTTTAAAAAAAGAAAAACTTTTGTTTTAAAGAAGTATTTAGTAGCCCAAAAATAAAAACTATGCCGCAAATGATATTCACATTTTGTGTTTCACACGATCAGGACTCTAATTGCTGTAATTGCCTTCCAACTCAGTCCTGATAAACGTCTTTCTCCCACTTCGACGGCTTTCATTCATAGGAAAATGTATTATAAATAGTCAAATTGCTTTGCTAAACTGAAAGTCTGTTTTGTATGCATCTCTGAATGTCTTCTCCTAAAAAAACATCTGACAGCTTCAACTTGATCTTTCCTAAGGACACAAGGAAGGAAGCTTCATTTTAGTTCATCTCTTAGTGTGGAAGCTGCCTGGAAATATCACTAGAGCAGTCGCTGTGACCGTACTCTGGGATGATTCCTTTCTCCCGAGGGACACTCTGTCCCCTCCAGAATCAATCCCTTCCCCCCCCCCCAAGCCCTGGCCATCCTTTTCTTAATTGTTCATTTCTTTCTCTGATCTCTTACTGCCTAACACTCCTCACATACAATCTACGTACGGGGCTCACCCTGCAGGAGCCCAGCTACATGCCATAGTAACAATGAGGCACGCTCCTGACTCCCGCCTTTGATGATAAAACCATTATTCTTCTATTTTCTACACACGTATCTTTAAAGCCAAAGTTTTAAATGAATTCACCGCATAGGAAAGAATACTTGTGGACGCTCATTTAGACAGGTCTGCACTTTCGAGCTCAGAAATTAAAGCAGGAATTCCAAAGAGACAGCAGTTGGAACATGAAGAAATGAAATTTCCTCTGCTTTTGGTTACCACACTTCAAAATGACACTCTGCATTCTAACTAGGACTATGATGAAACGCTCAAGTTTAAAAACAAACAAAAAAAGACGCTGTGCCACTTGCAGAGTCGCCGCCACTCACATTCTTGGAGGCGAGGAACGCCATGCCCTTGGCCACCTGGTAGGAGAAACTCAGCAAATCTTCCAGGTCCAGAGCCAACTCATCATCTTCCATGATGGCGGGAGTCATGTCTCTTTCTATATACGAGTCTATTAGGAAGACAGGGGTTTCTTAGCAATAGAAACCTAAGAGGTTAGGAGAGGACAGAAGCAGTCACAGTACCAGAGGCTAGCAATGAATGAACAGAGTGAACTCTTGGGCCAATCACCTCCTCAGAGAGGAGGAAAGGTGGACACTGACTCACAAAGCCAATAACCCCCAGAAGGTTTCAAAATCCTTAGGGCAACGGTGGGTCCACTTTCAAAATCTCACGTCTCTAACAGTAAGATATTAGATACAAAACCTGCTTTCGTCCGACACATCTACTTGTGAGCCCTAACGACCACTTGCTTGGCCACAGCAGGTTCCTCCTGGGAACGACACAGCCATTCCCGTTAGTGGGAAAGAGGCCAAATCTTCGTCCTACATCTCTACAAGCTCAGCACCTGACCCCCAGCCCATCTCCCTGAGACAAGATGAAAAATAAAGAACACGGTTCGATCACAGTCCCGGTGATCAAAAAACCACAGGGCCGGATTGCTTTTCCGCTTGGCAAGGACGTACCTATTCTTGCAGATCTCCGTTTGTCTGTCTTGGTTGGTACAACATAGGAAACTCCAGGTTTCATGTCCATGTACTCATTGGTACTGTCGTTGCTGGGAAGAGGAAACACCGAAGTCAGAAGGAAACAGAACACAGCCCTGACAAGGACAGGTCAGGCCACCGCTCTCAGCTGCTAGGCCATACTGCAGACTGATTTTATGTGAATGAAGAGTTTTGAAACGGTTCTGTGAGAAATGAGTGTCTACCATTTACTGCTCGGGTCCAGTCCCCAGGAATGTCTTTTTTCGTGGGGATCAGGTTAGAGGAGTCCCATCTCTAGCTACAATGATAGAATGGGGAAAAGGAGCCAAAACCTATTACCTCACACCACTCCTGTCTCTGAATGAGCCCCTACTCAGACAAGCCGGAAGCTAACAAGGCACTTCCAAGACATGTGCACGGGGAGATGGTTAAGCACACAGAGACTGAGGGAAGAAGGTTTTGAAAAACCAAGTTTGGTTCAGATAAACACCAATAATTTGGATGATTTTCTAGACCATCTGGACCTCTTGAATCTGCAACATTTGGCTGGAGACTCTTCAAGATTTCTAGTACTTCCTGCCTCTGATTAGCATAGAAACACCATGACAACAACCTCCTTCAGAGCGTGCTGGTGGCTCCAAATCCATATGGGATCCCAAAGCGCAAAGAACATCACACAGGACAGAACAATTCAGGCCATTATATCAGAAAGTGGAAAAGACACACACAGGGCCCAGGCTCCAGACTCAAGGCAAAGTGGTTCCTGCCTCTCTATGAAGAGTCTGTGTTCATGAAAAACTAACAAAAGGTGGGTTTTGTGGCATTTCACTACCCCACTAAACGACTCAAGCTTTCAGGATTAAAATGAAAACACAAAGCTTCCCTTGGTACTTTAAGCATTAGTAGTGGGGAAAGCTTTACTAGGTAATTGTCCCTCCACATTTACTGAGGTCTCCTTAAAAGTCTAGAATTGAGACTTCAGAAGACAAAAGCCTGTCATCTAAAACAGAGTCCAATTCCTATGGAATTTCATTAGTTTCTGGGGCTAAGATTTGAACCCAGGGCATAGAGTAAAGACGAGAAGAGGTAAGTAAGATCCACCACACAACTACAGCGTTGTTAAGTACAGGGTCTAGGGCGTGGATAGGAGTTCCATCAAGTTTGGCGGATCTCGGAAGGCTTCTTCCATGGCGGAACTCAACCACATTTGAGAAGAGGAAACAAGAGCCATGGCAGAGATTTCTTTTTTCTTTTCTTTTTTTAATTATAAACTGATTGGCCCATTAGCGTAGGCTTCTTATTAACTAATTCTTACAACTTATATTAGCCCATAATTCTTGTTTCTATGCTGCACAGCAAACTAACTTTGCTCCAAGGATCTCGAAGCTGCATATATTCCATCCTTTGCATCCTCATCCTTCAGGGCAATCTCAGAAAGGCCCAGAGGTCAAACAATGTTCTTTAATAGCGATGACTTTATAACAATGACACGAGGGACGTGGCAGACAGAAAAACACTATGATGACAAGAAGTCTACATATGGAAATATGCTCAGTCCCCAGACTTAACCCTGGCTGTATGACAGCCTTTCCCTCTTCCCTATAAACAATCCCACTATGAAGATGCCTGCAGACCCAAGCTCAGGAACACAAATGGAAGCAGAAAATGGAGCCACAGTAAAAAGAAGAGGTAGAAAACACATTCAGTTCCACAGAACCAAGGCTCAGGGAAGAACAGAAACATGCACTAAGAGAAATCAGTAGCAATCTCAATTTGAATCTTCAAGGGTACTATCTGAACTTCTGAAATAGTGAATCACATTTAAATAATTTAATAATTCTGATTTCACACCTCAGAGTACCTCAGTTCATTTTTTTAAAAGTAAGAATCAGCCTTGATTGCAAACCCTTATGACCCCTTGAACTGCCTGTCAACGGCTGACTATTTATGCAAATCAGCCTTACCAGGAAGTCTCCTTTGAATGCAGAAGGTTCTTATAAAGTGCCGCTTCTGCCTGATCTTCTTGCTTTGAGAAAATAAATGAATCACGTTTTCGTCTCAAAAAATTCAAAAGATCACCATAGCAACAATATTCTGTAATGACCAGGGTGGGCCCTATGAGGATATAATAAAACGTTAGGAAGACACAAGATACACTCTAGATAATCCAGCCTCCTGTAGAAATACCCAAGGGTGACTGTGGCTATTAGCATTCAGCTTCAGTGCTAAGCCTTCTTAGTACCAACATAATTCTATCTGTTAACATCACTTATCAAAAAAGCAGCATTGTGCTGAGTGAAATAAAACAAGCAATCCCCTTTCTACCTGGATGTCTAAGTGACATGAACGTTAGGGGCCAGGCGTGACTGCTGGCTTTGCAGCCACAAGGGACTGCTTTCAAAGGCTCTACTGTGATCAAGCTTCCTCTGCGGGAACTCTTTGATTCACTTCCGTGTACGACAGGTTTCTGTGTCCTTGCTGTAATATTATTATGAAAACGAAGGACCTGAGCTGTAGCCTGGTAGGGAAGTAACCACATGGAACAGGCAGCTAAGCCCCGACCCGAAAGTGGGCGAAGAACTAGACGCCACCCATTTTGCCAAGCACCACTGGCTGAAAAGAGTTGGTGCGCTGAATGTTTAAAAGCGTGGTTCCGAAGTTAACAGGCCACTAATTACTGTGGGTAGAAACCGCCTTGTGAACAGTTCACAGGGTGATGAAGCATCAGTCACGGGGGCTGTCCTGAGACACTGTTCAAACGTGTCTACAGTGCCGTGGCTGTAGATAAACAGCAACAGCTCACTCTACACACCTTGTTCCTTCAGAACAACAGGCCTTCTGCTAATGTCAAGACATCCTCGATGGGAACACTGACTAAGGGGTTAAAATTGGAAGCTTTTTCTTCTTCCTCTTCTTTTTTTTTTTTTTATCAGAAGTGAAAAGCTTGCTCTATTTGGTGTGCATTTGAGAAGTGGGAGGCTCAGGGCTACTTTCAGTTATAGCAGGCAAATGAACATTAACTCCTGAGTGACTAATTATGACCCAGCAATATATAAAGCTTTAAGACCAGAAAACCCTTCTGGGGGAGTCGAGTCAGCAAAGAGCCCATGTTGATGTAAGCATCAGTGAGAGTCTGTTGTATATATCCTGGCTATTCCTCCACCTCCACCCCCCACTTGGGATGATACAACCAGAAGCTATATCCCTGTACCTGTTTAAGGGGGAGGGCATTATAATTCAACACATGCATGCAAAGTATAATGGGCAAAAGAGGATTGCGCAGTTCCACACAAAGAAAAATCCCGTGTGTTCTCCCACACTTGTGGGAGTTAAAATGTTGACCTGCAGAGAGCTGGAGAGAGACAGTCCATAAGACTGTCAGGGGGCAGAGGAATGAGAGGAGCAGAACAGTTGTGGGGTGTCTCTCCAATGCTCTATAACCCAGCATGACAGCTAGAGCCAACATCTCAAAATAACAAGAGGACAGGAACCTGAAGGCTCCCAACATACAGAAATGATTTTTTTTTTAAAAGAAATTTTCATTTTTAGGAGTGGGTTAAAGACAAAAAAAAAAGCCCTCCCAAACAACTTATAATTAAGCACTATCCAAATCATATTTTGATCACCCAACAGACAACAGCAGGTGCCGTGATGACAGGACTCACCTCCCACGGTGCACGCTCCAAGAAGATTCACGATGTTCATGTGATTGCCTAGATAGCTCAGAACCTTCAGTTCTGACATGAGGGCCTCCCTTTCCGTTAAATGGGCACTTGCTAAAATGGAAAACACTGTATTTTAGCAAAACAAAGACAAGCAAACCCATGAGGCAAACTGGCAGCGGTGAGTACAGGCAGTGAACGCCCTGGCCCTGCAGTCACTTACGTTTAAGCATCTTCACAGCGACCGTCATGGCGGCATCTGACTTAATTAGGCCATAGGCAGTGGCCTCGACAACCTTCCCAAAGGCACCGGCACCCAGCGTCTTCCCTTTAGAGAGGAAGACAAGGTCAGCGTGAGGACCCGACGGGACAATTAGGAGGTTCCAAAATCAACAAGGCAACTGAGGGTGCATATTGTCTGGAGACAGAGACACTTCACTGTTCTGTTCCTTGTGCCAACCCAGCCAACCTCTGTTCGGTTTGACAGAAAGCACTTCTTGTTTCAGGTGAAACAAGACAAAGGAAGCTATGCAGGTTCCTTAAAAACACACTGTTATGTGTACACAGAGAGGGCTGGGTGGAAAGCCCCTGCTTCATACTGACCAAAACTCAGCCTGTTTCTGGGAAACTCCCATTTGTGATCGTAAGGAAGTTGTGTCGGGTCTATGTAAACATAATTGTTTCCATTTATCTCCTCGACAACCTTCCATTGTACTTCATACATAGGTTTCTGGAAGAGAAAGGGAAAGCCAGGTCACCGGTTAACCATCAGCGCCTCGGTCCCTGCGGCATCCGGGGGAGGAGAGCACAGTCAATGGTCACCTGGAGGTATTTGTAGGCGAGGACCATCACGATGATGCCCATCATGCCAGCTGTGATGACAAAGCCAATCAGCAGGGGGGTGAACAGGGTGTGGGCTTGGATTTGCTCTGCAAGGGAAGAGAATTGTGATGGTGAGCTGTGGGCAGGACAACGGCCTGGCTACCACCACCTGTCCCCAGCCGAACCACTGCTCTCCTGGCGCATGCAGGGGACACATCTTACTCTCGGTACTCAAAGACACCACTCCTCCCTCTCTTTCTTTCCTTCTCTTATGTTAATACATTATTGTCACTATTATATTATCATTCTGTGCTAGGGATGGAGCTGACACCGTGCCACACCCACATCCACCTCACTGGATGCATGAGCATCTTTAAAGACGTGAGTTGGGGACCAGATTACAAAGAAAATCAACTTTCTGGGGCACACGCATAATGTTAATGAAAAGCGACGTCTGCATGGGTTTTCTTTCTAGGTGGTTTGCGTTTTCTTCTTTCTGTGCTCTTATGTTTTCTGAATGTTCTACACTGAACATAAACGTCTTTTACAGAGAAGAAAGAAAGGCATTTCTGAAGTACCCTTTCTTAGCGCTGCCTGGGAAAAGTAACAATACAGAGAGCAGTGTTATGGTTCTGTCCCTCCTTATATCCAAAAGCTGAGGGCAAGCAGCTTTTTGGCATGAGCCCTGCGGCCAATGTTAACCACCACAGGAACTGGGCACAAAACAAAACAAAAACAAACAAACCCAGAGCCCAGTTTCCCTGTCTCATATGTGCCCACTCAGCAGTGCTTTTAAGGGTCATTGGGCCTGCTAGCCACTCAGGAAGCACAGCTGGCTGTACAAGGAGTGTAGCTCACAGAAGGCCACACACAACGCATGCAGAGTTCTGTATGATTCTGGCAGTGCAGATGGGCAAGCATGTACAAACACACACACATCACGGAAGTGAGGGGAAAATCATTTGCTGACAAGATCATAGAAAAGACACTTAATATTTTGATACAAATATTTAACAAAATGTAACTCATCTTAAATAACTAAAATTTCAAATTGAACTTATTTATTATTTTGTTTGTTTCTGTTTCTTGGGACAGGGTTTCTCTATGTAATTCTGGCTGTCCTGGAACTCTCTCTGTAGACCAGGCTGGCCTCGAACTCACGGAGTCCACCTGCCTCGGCCTCCCCGGTGCTGGGCCTAAAGGCATGTGCCATCACATCCTGTGCATTTAAAAATTTTAAAGTGCCCCCAATTATGTATCTGTACAAGGCAGGAATGCCCCCCCCCCACTCAACTTATCCGTACACATATAACTTGTCGAGAAACTCATACAGGCACAAAGAGAACCGGTAAAACAAAATGGCCAAGATTACATTGGTAAAAGCACAAACATCATCAGCAGACTAACATAGAATGAAGAGTTTGATGACAGCGTGGTAGGATGCAGGCATTACCAGAAATGATATGGCCAATAATGAGATGGAGTTAAGATCATGGTATGGTACACAGAAGCTAAATATCCCCTTAAATTGGATTAAAAGGAAATATACCTTTGTTGTTACCTTTAAATGCAAAGTTAAAGAAGGCGGAACTCTTGCCCACATCGTTGTAGGCCTTACACTCCACCGTGCCGTTGTGACGGAGGACGCTGGAGTCTATGGAACTCTGGACCACCAGTTTCCCAAACGGTGACACAGACACGTTCTGGATCTGTACATCCACCGCTGGGATGGGAATGGCACACCTAGAAGAAAACGGCAGTGTGGGCTTACACCAGGAAAGCTAAACAAAAGCACATGACCCCTTCATCTGGCACGCTTGCACGACTAGAAACCCAGACGCCATAAAAACTCCCTTTCACAACCAATCAGTCCAGAATGGCCCGAGGAGACTGACCCCTGGAGGTCCTCTGAGTACAGTCGGAGAGCAGAAAGAGGGAGTGATGGTCTAGAGATTGGACAGGGACCTGGGTCCTAACACCAAGTGCAGGGTTCCGTCAATTCTCCGCTGCTAGGTTTCTGTGGCATACTGTCTCAAGGGGGGCTGAAAGAAAGGGATTCGAACAGCCACCGGCACCAGATCCTGCCACACCACAGACTCTTAGAAAGAAATGAATTTGGAAAGGGTGCATGACGATTGAAGATAAAAAGGGTAGAGGAGGAAACTGTAGGAAATCAACAAGAATGAAAACAAGAAAGGTTCAAAAAGTGCAGGGGGGAGGAGCCTGAGGTCCAGAGGCAGAGGCGCAGCCCATGTGTACAATGACCACTCTGGCTAAAAGGATCTTCTCTTAGGAGACAGTCCCCAAAGGCCTCTTTTCCATGGCCTTCTCAGCACCTGCACACGCCAGTCGTCTCGTCTGCTCCCTCTCTCCACCCACCAGAATTCAGATTCACCCACGCAGAGGAGCCGAGCATGGCGTACGCTAGACCAGTGTTTGGCGCACGGCTTGCTTCCACGTAAACATTTTACTCAGGCCACATCATAGAAGACACAACATTCAGGGCTTTTATGCACCCACAAACAAAACATTCTGCTAAAACCCACACCAAAACAATAATCCAACATGATCAATCCCAACGCGTTGTCAGGAAATGTATTCCTTGAAAAATAAAATTTCTACCGCCATTCTGACTATTCATGAGGCCAAACTAAGCTTTTGAAGCTGGAGTATAACACGGTATTTGATGTGTAAAAATGGCACATTCACCCCTTTTTCATCTTCAGGGAATATGAGAGGACAATTTAAGGCTTAAATGTGGACAGGGAGGGAAAGCCACACAACGGCAGATGTTCCTTGTTTCGGGGGCTGAGCGCCTAACACTTTTTCAAACCCATCGCTCACAAATGCCATATGTATGTTGTAATTGTGAGATCATTACTTTTTGGTTACTTGGCAATTAACTTCTGAGGTAATTTTTTTCATGATAACCGCAGCCACATTTCCCACACACATTACCTCCTGTGTATAGAATGGAAATCTAATTACTCTGTCCAGGGAAATTGCTTTATCTACCTGCAGGCTAGAAATTGCATGATAAACCCAAAAAAGATAACCACCAAAATAGAGAAGGCATTCAGTAATCATTTTTCAGCAAACAAAATTAATGTCGGCCAGGAAAAATATAGCCATTATCCCTTCTTAAAAAGCCACAAAGATATAGGAGAAAAAGAAGTAATCAAGGAGCAGCTTTTTATTCAAAAATAAAAATAAATAAATAAATAAATAGTAAGCCTGAAGACACATTTGAAATGCAACCCTTCTGAATTTTAAGCAGCGCCAAAAATAATCCTCTCACCTTTGCTCTGTTCCCGAACAAAAATACCAATCTATTGTGGGCTCTGGGAATCCCTCTGCCACACACTGGAGCATGCCATTCGGGAGCCTGTCAGACGTCCGGATTTCCGGTTTTGCTGTAGGGAAAATAGCCATATGTCAGTCTGCTAAACAACCCCGGGTGGCTTTCTCCGTCCTTTCTTATCCCATCCCTAGGTCCTTCCAGAGGCAGCTGAAGAACCTGACTTGCTGCTCTCCCAAACCAGAGCTGGGAGACACCCAGAGGTGGCACGAGGGTTCAGAGGGCCTGCACCGACCCTGCCTGTCCATCTGAAGGCACAGGGATCCTGAGGAACTCTCTATAGCAAGAGGCTGCCAAGACCAACCTGACTGGCTTCTTCAGGTTGACAGTCAGCATCCTAAACTTAGACTCCTTGTCAATAGGAGTTCAAGCCACTCCACCTGCCCAGAAACTTCATGTCAAATTCTGGGCACTGGGATGGATGAAATTAGGAGTTGTTGTGGAAAAATAGAAGCTATACTCTCCTTTTAAGAAGTACAAGAGGTGGCGCTGATAAAAGAATGGGATTGCTATACTTACGGTAAAGCTAAATCTTGAGAGTGAAGGGCAGTGCGAGCATCTAATCCTTTATTTCACATAGAAACACAGACAGAAAATGGAAGAGGAAACCAGCCCCAGAGTTTTGTTCACACATATATCTACAGCTCAAGTACAATCAGCAAAAACATAAATTGTACCAGCAGGAAGACTCTAATTTGACAGTCCTGTGTAACTACAATAATCAATTGATATTCAACAAATTCAAGTTCTTGAAGTTACTTCTCAAGTGAAAAGATGAACTTCTACTGTATGGTTCTGAGGGTGATATTCTCAATGCTAGTCCTCTGAGGACGAATGCTGTAGACAGTCAATAGTATGCAGGTAGATAGTCACCAATATCACTGAAGATGAGCCCAGGCTACACGAACCGGCAAGGCAGGGTGTAGTGGACAATCCCAACTGATTTAGCTTCTGCATGCCTCTCCTAACTCTTCATTCATAGAAAGGGAACCATGGTGACCACCTTGCAGGGTGATGAGTAAGTGTGGCAAAGACCTAAGAATGTTGAGATGTCCCAGCAGGTAGTTTGATTCCTGGGACCCACATGGTGGAAGGAGAGAACCGACTGCCACTAGCTGCCCTCTGACCTCCATGTGCACATGGTGGTATTCGTACACTCTTGCTTTCACAAGCATGCTGAGGCACATGGCACACACTGTCCCGAAACACACGCAACTAAGTAAATATAATAAATGTTTTTTAAAAAGAACCAAGAATGACTCACAGATATATAATGATGCATTTGTTGTTGTTGTTATTATTATTATTATTACTGATCTGGCTTTCTATTGGAATGCTATGCTCCCCAATTAAGCAAGTTGACTACAGACTTAGTGGACAATATTTAACACCCTTCAAGCTCCCTTTAATGCTCTGTAAATTGTTTCTTTAGGACAGCGTGACAGTGTGTTTGAAGCTGAAGCACGGGGATTTCAACATCAATTACACATGAACTAGTCATGAGATCAGAGACAGAAAGACTGATGGGTCAAGAGCTTAAGGACTTCACTTCCCCAAAGGAAGCAACCATGATAAATGACATCTCTGAGAGCCACCGCTCAGCACCCCACCTCCTCGAAGGCAAGAAGGGTTGGCAGGGATCGGTGTCCACATGCATGACACACCCACCTGCCACTCAACCTGGTCCTGCTGATGGCAGGCCATTTGGCAAACACCACAAAAGAGCCACTACTCTCCAAAGCCATCCTCAAGGTAGGAGCATCCTTGAGAATTTGGATCTAATGCCAGCTTTCGCAAATAGAGCAAGAAGACGAGCCATCGTCTTGCGAAAGCATCCATCTGGCAAGTTTCATTTAATTACCACGGGCAACTGTGGGATCAGGCTGAAAAGTAGGACACAAAACAACAGTGGGCTCTTAGGAGAATGCCATTTTCCTGGAGACTGCAGGAGCCATTAAGACGGTGGGTCTCTCCAGACTCAAGAGTCGTCTCCCTTTTCTCAGGGGACCCCACACTTCTCTCATCTCCAGACTCAACTCAAGAGTCATCTCCCTTTTCTCAGGGGACCCCACACTTCTCTCAAGCCAACTGAATAGGTCTCTATCCCCGTTCCTGGAAGCCTTGGGGAGCACCCGATTTTGTTATTCAAGCTCATTCATGCTTTGCCTCCTCCATCAGACTCTCAATGGCCAGAGTGACATGTTAGACTAGCGACGGAGGTCTGGTGGCAGCAAGAGCTGGTGGATGAATATGAGACCACCCCAGGGAACAAATGATTGATATCATAAGGAGATAACTGAGAGAGGAGTCTTACTGAGGCTTTCCTGACCAGGAGACCTCGTCCCCTTATTCTCAAGACAGGGAAGCAAAAGACAGGAAATCTACAAGTACGCATAGACACATGGAGTTAAAAAAAAAAATACTGACATTGACAATAAGTAGGGAAGAACACAAAGAGGGGGCAAAGATGGCAGGACTCAAACTTCTCAGGTTCATTAGGGATCTACTTATTTTGTCACTTGTCCTCGCTTGGGTTATCATGTCCTAAGATGGGTTTTTCTCAGGTTAGCGCAATGGAAGAAAGAATCCCTAAATGCTAAAAGGATACTTTATGACATTAATAGTGTTAACACTGGCTAGAAGGCATATGGATTGCTTCTACTTTATTCTTCCTGCCTTTTTTGTCATACAGTGAACATGGAGCTGGAAATGACTGCATAAAAACTTTCCATTAAAAAATTGAACAGCGCAAACATGAACCATCAATTGTCCTTCGCTTTAGTGACATTTAGTGACAAGCGTTCTCTAGGATCCAGGCCTCCTAGCGTGACACCTGGTAGCAGTTACGTAATGACTGGACCAGGCCAGCAATGCTGTGGTCTGGCTTGACTACTTGTTCCTACGATTGTTGATTAACTGAGTCGGTTTTGGTGGTGGTGTTTTGTTTTTTAAAGCTCCTCTCCCAGGTGGGTCATTGCCTGAGGCTAGTTGAATCCTTTTGCCCTATTGGGTCTCAGCAGGTCCTAAACCTTAGAGCGGCATTAGACTCTCTAAGAGAAGCTAAATGAAGATTCTTGCTCCAACCCCCAGCTTCCTCTGCAAGCTAAAGACCTGAGTCAGCACTTTGTGTGGTTCTGTTGCTGTTGTTTTGTTTTTTAAATAAAGACGGAGGCCAGGACCAGAAGGGGTCAGAGCAGCAGCCCACGGGCAACAATCCAAAGGTGCACATGGGGACCAGCGTGTGAGTTCTTCCTACAATCTTGTTCCCTTACTTAATCTTAGTCCCAGCCCTGTCCTCAATACTGGTGGTGTGACATCTCGTTCTGAAAATGCTAAGGCACACTGGTCCAGCATGGGCTGTCCATGGCAGGTTGTATTAGGAGAATGTTTAATGCATAAAGAATGAGCTAGGTAGATCTGATTCCTAAAATGAAAATCTGAGCTTAAGTGGCTCAATGCACCATGTACGGCATTAAATATGCATTTCACTGCTAAAGACACATAACTCGTGCAATTCTGCAGGTTAAGTCAGAGCTGCAGCTTCTTAGACATTCTGAAATAAGTAGGCTACCAAATGACACATTCCCTAATTCCTCCCAAGTTGGGGTTTTTGATAAGCCTAAGAAGTGTCTAAGTTACATGTTTCTTGTGTAGGTTTTTTAAACTAGCCTTTTCTATTTGAACAGCATCCCAGACTTAAGCCATCCAGCGCCCCCAACAACGGCGATCAGCCTGTAAGCTGCCATTTGTTAATGAAATGTGAGAATTTGTTGCTCATGCAATTAAAATCCTAAACACTAGTTTACTCTGCAGATTGGTGATTTTGAAAAATATTCTTCTCACTACCATCAGGTCCATGTGGAAAGCAAGAACAAAATTAATTTTAAGAATGTGGTACATATAACAAGAGCTGGCAGCCAGCACTGGGAGGCCGCAGGCACACAGAAGGAAGCTGGGAGACTCGCCTTTCATTTGGTCTCCTACAAGGAAGTGGCTCTGAGCAGAGATCTCTGGCCCTGCTCACCTTAACCAGCTCCCATGTGGAATAGTTTGCCCACATTCTATAATCAGCCTGAGAGGGGACAGACTCGGGTCCCCAAAAAGACCAAATGGGTAGTGGTCAGAAGGATGGATTCCTGTTTTTATAACTGGTTTTGCTGGGACAGAATGGTGATGCAGTGGCCATGTTTAACAATTTGTCGCCATTCTAGTTGGGTCTGGATAGAAGCTATAGTGAGTTCTGCCACAGTATTGTGAGCGTGGGAGGGAACAGAGACCAGATCAAGCAGTAGCAAAATACCTGCAGCTGACCTTTTAAAAACAAGTTAAAGGAAATAGTGTAGACACATGTTACAGAGATTCTCAGAATAGATACTTTGGAAACATCTTTTGTCCTTTCTTAGGGGTATCTAAAAGTGTCAAATGGGTATTCTGGCTGTGTCTCATCTAGCCCAGGCTAACTTCAAATTTCCTAGGTAGCCAAGGATGACCTTGAACTTCTAATCTTCCTGTCTCCCACCACACTCATTTACATTGGAGATCAAACCCAGGGCACCTCGTGCATGATAAGCAAGTTCTACAAACTGATCTACATACACCATCAACCCCAAAATAGGCATTTTAAAACAGAAATTGGTTCGACAGACAAACAAAAATAAAACCTTCAACTATGGTCTCCTATACCCATATATTTTAAACACAGAACCCATTTTAACAAAGCACCACCTTAATAAAGTGGTATCCCCGGCTAAATAATGAGTTTTATTCTTTATTTTATTTAAAACTCTTTTGACCTTTTGAACTACTTAAATTTTTTTTCTGGATCCACTGGCTGCTCAAACCCAGTGGCCACATGGGAGCCCAGTTTTCTGAATCCCTGCTCTGAAAAGCCACCAGAAAGAAACCCTAGGAGCTGGGGAGCTGGCTCAATGGTAAAGCGCTTGCTGGACAAGAGCTAGGAAATGATAACTGAGGTTGGGAGCCCCAGCACCTACTGGGCAGCCCACTGGTAACCTCAGTACTTGGAGGCCAAGACAGGGCTTGCTGGCTCCCTAG